ACATCCCAACTCCGCGCTCTTACGCGGAGGCCGTAGAGGGTCCCTACTCGTCTCAGTGGCAGGCAGCTATGGATGCAGAGATGGCTTCCTGAAAGTCCACAGGCACCTACGTTGACGCAGTCCCCCCTCCTGGGGCGAACATCGTCAGTGGCATGTGGATCTTCAGGGTGAAGCGGCCGCCGGGCTCTCCACCTGTCTTCAAGGCGCGGTACGTTGCTCGTGGCTTCAGTTAGCGGCAGGGAGTTGACTACTTTCAGACCTTCTCTCCCACCCCGAAGATGACCACTCTTCGGGTGCTGCTGCACATAGCCGCTCAGCGCGACTACGAGCTTCACTCTCTCGACTTCAGCACTGCGTTCCTGCAGGGTAGCCTGCACGAGGAGATCTGGCTGCGCCGTCCACCTGGCTTCACTGGGACTTTCCCTCCTGGCACCCAGTGGAGCCTCCGTCGGCCAGTCTACGGTCTCCGCCAGGCACCGCGTGAGTGGCACGACACACTGAGGACTACGCTTGCGGCTCTTGGGTTTGCTCCTTCTACTGCTGACCCGTCCTTGTTTCTGCGCACCGACACTTCTCTGCCGCCGTTCTACATCCTCGTGTACGTCGACGACTTGGTCTTTGCCACAGCGGACACTGCTGGACTCGCCTACGTGAAGTCCGAGCTGTTGAAGAGACACACGTGCACAGACCTGGGTGAACTGCGCAGCTACCTTGGCTTGCAGATCACTCGGGACAGAGCACGCCGCACCATTACCTTGACTCAGTCACACATGGTGCAGCAGGTCCTTCAGCGCTTCGGCTTCACGTACTCCTCGCCTCAGGCCACTCCTCTGTCTACTCGCCACTCGCTCTCAGCTCTGCCTTCGGATGAGTCCGTAGAGTCGAGTGGCCCGTACCCAGAGCTTGTTGGCTGCCTCATGTACCTGATGACCTGCACACGACCTGACCTTGCATACCCTCTGAGCATTCTTGCACGCTATGTTGCTCCTGGGAGACACCGACCAGAGCACATGGCTGCAGCGAAGAGGGTGTTGCGCTACCTGTGCAGTACGTCGGGCATGGGGCTAGTGCTTGGAGGGCGGAGTCCAGTGGTCCTTACAGGGCACGCGGACGCTTCTTGGGCTGACGACCAGGCTACGCAGCGGTCGTCACAGGGTTACACCTTCAGTCTTGGTTCCGGCTCTGTCTCGTGGCGGGCTACTCGCTCGTCTTCGGTTCTCAGCTCCAGTTGTGAGGCTGAGATCTACGCTGGGGCCATGGCTGCACAGGAGCTTCGCTGGCTCACCTACCTGCTCACTGACCTTGGAGAGCCGCCTCGTTCTCCTCCAGTGCTGTACGTAGACAACAAGGCCATGCTGGCCTTGTGTCGAGAGCAGCGTCTGGAGCACAGAACGAAGCACATTGCTCTTCGCTACTTCCTTGCTCGTGAGCTGCAGCAGCGTGGACAGTTGCGGCTTGCGTACGTGGCCTCTGAGGCCAACACTGCTGATGTGTTCACCAAGGCACTCGCGCCTTGTGACCATCAGCGCTTTTGCACCCAGCTGGGTCTTGTGCCTGTCTTGCCTCACTTGCTCTCCTCTTGACTTCACTTGTACTGTGACATATATATATACCTGCTCTTGCTTGTCTAGTTTATATATATATGTCTGTACTCCTGCATGTGAACTGGCCTCTGGCCCTGCTCTTGTGCTCGGACTGTGTGGTGACGTTGTGATCCACCCTGAGCTTGCTCTGCTTTGCTTTACTTGACTGGTCTTGTGACCCCTTGTTCTCCCCCACTTTGCCTATGGGGGTGTGTCAGATTTATATGACATAGTTGCTGTAGGCTATAGTGGGGTAGCACATATGGGGTACAGGGTTTCTAGGGTTGTATTTGTACCCAATCTTTCCTTAGTCATTTCATTCCTGTTCACTTGTTTCACATCATAATCAGTAGGAAACCCATGCGGACCAAATTAGCCCCATTCTTAGCGAACCATTCTGTGAAGAGCATTTGTTGTTCATTCAAATCTGTTTGTTTTCTCACGCGGACCTGCGAGGATTTCAATGTCGTAACTGCGACACTGTTTTGCTAAACAATGGAAATGTTATGCCGTGCGAGGTGCGAATCATAAGTTTACGCTGAAATTTAAACTCTCGATAAACTAGGTCGTGGTGACGAAATCGGTTTCTTGATTGTTTTTTTTTTTTTTTTACACAGCTCACTCGATTGTTAACTGCGGCACTGTTCGGCAGCACTATCACTTTCGTGTTGTCTCTTTGTGCCAGCAAGTTGGCAGTTGGTCTGTGGGCTTGGTACAGTGTACATTACAGTTTCGGCTGGATTTTCTGCACCAAGACTTCCGGTGAGCTGTTGCCTTGCTGGCTAGCCGAGGCGCTGTGCGAAAAAACAGGCGCGAAACTGTAGCAACACTCTGACTCTGTGCTTCGCAAAGTCGACTCGGTTTGCCCTGCTGGCTAGTTGCGCGACAAAAGAGCCCACCATCGATGTGCAGCGTTGACAGCTGGATGTTTCTGACTGTTGACATGTATGTGTCAGAACTTATATTTGTAACTGCTTGTAGCTGTAGTTAATGTAGTTATTATAAACTTGTTTGGTGGTGCACCTTCTTTGTTTCCTTTGCTACATGTTCTTCGAAACCTATAGTGAAACCATCCTTTCCAACTTTCTCGACTATCTCACCCTTGGCACAACCTACTCGACATCCTAGGGCCTAGGCTCCTAGGAGCCTAGGCCCTAGTTAAACTTGATCTTTCTCGTTCATTTTCACATGGATTCAGAGCAAGTTTCGTCCTGGCCTGTGGGCCCGCCTAATGCTTCCGCTGCTATCTTTTCGGTCGCGCGCCTTGGGCGCATGGCGATTTTCGTATTGTCCCGCCCCCGGTTGGCGAGTGACTCCTTTTCTGCCCGTCGCGCGCCCCGTGGCACGCGACGGTGCCCTAAACCTGCCCGTCGTGCGCCCCGTGGCACGCGACGGTGCCCTGCTCGTCGTGCGCCCCGAGGCACACGACGGTGCCCTTACCTTAAACTTGCCCGTCGTGCGCCCCGTGGCACGCGACGGGCCTCTCCGCACCTGCTCTCCCTGCAGCCGCCCCTGACCTACCTACGCCGACACATTGTAGCCGCTCTGCCGCTTTCTTCCCGCCCACCCCCTCCTCCTTTGTCTCCCTGCAGCCGTGGGGGGGAGGGTATGGGGGTGGCGGGTGTTGGATTGTTGGGTCGTTATACTTCCCTTCCCCTCCTCCTCCTTTCGTTCCCACTGCTGCAGCTGCCGCTGGGGGGGAGGGTGTGAGGGTGTGGGGGAGCAGGGGGAGTGGCACCGGGGTGGCGGGTGTGAGGCAACCAGCAGCCGTCCCTCCACCTCTCCTCTCTTCTCCCCCTCTCTGCTGCTCCTGCAACAGTGTGGGGGAGGGGAAGGAGGAGGGTGAGGAGATGGAGGGGGTGACCAGCCAGAATTAGCCCGCCTGCAGTACCTGCTGTTGCTTGTTTATTATTCTGCTTGTGTACCCATGCAGGCTATAGTCTGCACAAACTCCTGCTGCAGGCAGTTATGGGGGAGTGTCAGAACTTATATTTGTAACTGCCTGTAGCTGTAGTTAGTGTAGTTATTATAAACTTGTTTGGTGGTGCACCTTCTTTGTTTCCTTTGCTATATGTTCTTCGAAACCTATAGTGAAACCATCCTTTCCAACTTTCTCGACTCTCTCACCCTTGGCACAACCTACTCGACATCCTAGTTGGGCCTAGGCTCCTAAGCCTAGGCCCTAGTTAAACTTGATCTTTCTCGTTCATTTTCACAGTATGTGCATCGATCAAAATGTGGGCAGGGTCAATGTATTTTGTTGCGTGATTGCACGGTGCGGAACTGCAGAACCTTCTAAACATTCTTCTGTTCGACTCAAAAAAGATGTCGAAAAAAAAAAAACGTGTGCTGTATCTGCCCGTCCGATCTGACCGGCAGTTCGCTAAAGTCCAGAAACACCGACGTCTTCTGTCCACGTCATTCCGACCTCATTCCGTTTTGCTAAACCGAGTCAGAAAATACACAACTTTCTGTACCGTTGGGGAAACCGCGCCATGCCCTTTTGGTCGCAAATTCGCCAGTAGCCACATTAACAGACACTTTCACGCACCGCTTGTGCTCACAGTATCCCGCCTAAAAAGAATCACAACGGTAGAAGCCAACGGGTAGCCTTTACTTCCCTGCTCTGTACCATATGCCATGTGTGCTCCAGCTATTCCTGGTGTTATGTGCTTTGGACGGGGTAATTATAAAAAAAAAAATAGTACTGCCCCACAGCCATCAATCCCGACCTTTCGTTTCCATCGCTGTCCCCACTCTCTCTCCACCAGCGGATCCTCGTCCCCTCATGGCTGAACTCCCTCGTGAGTTTCTGGAGGGTCGTGCCAAGAGGAAGAAGAACATCCCTGCTAAGTTTCGTTATTACGAAACAGAGTACCCTGGTTCACGCGGGCGAGCAGTAGCACATGGAGAGTTAAGCAAAGCACAGAAAACTACTCAGGCAGGTACACCAGTCAACCCTGCTCCCTTGGTTGGTAGTCCTGCACCTGCCGCAAGCGGTCCTCCAACGGTTGCAAGTGATTCAGCCGTGGTAACTAATGGTGCTACCGTAGTTGGATTTACTACAACGAACGTCAGCGCAGAGAATGTGATAGGTTCTCAGGAGGACGGCTCTCATGACAACCTTGCTGCCTCAATGGTGCGAATCCTCCTTGTTGTGGTCTGAGTCATCAAGAGCTTGCAGCATTCGTGCCATGACACTATGCTTCACGATTTGAGGCATAGCGTCACGTTTGTTGCTTGCACGGTATGCCCTCTTTACGAGAGGTTGGTGAAAAAACTCGAACATGTTGGCGTTGTAGTGAACGGGGACACCGGAGCGTCGAATGTCATCGACCAAATGCACAAGGCCGTGCACCTTGCCGATGTTGAATTCGGATGCTTGAAATTCGCCAAACACATCCTTCAACATTGGAATCAATCTGACAAGAGACGAGAGGGAGGAGAAAGGGAGGAGAGAGATGGGAGTGAGAAGGGTTGAGAGGGAGGACAAAGGCAGGGCATGGATGGGTGCGAGGACAGAGAGGACAGAGATGGGAGTGGAGGGATGAGAGAGAGGAAGAAGGGAGGACAGAGATGGGAGTGGAGGGATGAGAGAGAGGAAGAAGGGAGGACAGAGATGGGAGTGGAGGGATGAGAGAGAGGAAGAAGGGAGGACAGAGATGGGAGTGGAGGGATGAGAGAGAGGAAGAAGGGAGGACAGAGATGGGAGTGGAGGGATGAGAGAGAGGAAGAAGGGAGGAGAGAGATGGGAGTGGAGGGATGAGAGAGAGGAAGAAGGGAGGAGAGAGATGGGAGTGGAGGGATGAGAGAGAGGAAGAAGGGAGGAGAGAGATGGGAGTGGAGGGATGAGAGAGAGGAAGAAGGGAGGACAGAGATGGGAGTGGAGGGATGAGAGAGAGGAAGAAGGGAGGAGAGAGATGGGAGTGGAGGGATGAGAGAGAGGAAGAAGGGAGGACAGAGATGGGAGTGGAGGGATGAGAGAGAGGAAGAAGGGAGGACAGAGATGGGATTGGAGGGATGAGAGAGAGGAAAAGGGGAGGACAGAGATGGGAGTGGAGGGATGAGAGAGAGGAAGAAGGGAGGACAGAGATGGGAGTGGAGGGATGAGAGAGAGGAAGAAGGGATGAGAGAGATGGGAGTGGAGGGATGAGAGAGAGGAAGAAGGGAGGACAGAGATGGGAGTGGAGGGATGAGAGAGAGGAAGAAGGGAGGAGAGAGATGGGAGTGGAGGGATGAGAGGGAGGATGAAGGAGGGACAGAGACAAGGCACAATCTAGGAAACAGATGGGGTTGAAAAGTGGTGAGATAGATATAGTGACAGGTTCCGATTTTTGAAGAGATCAGATTGAACAAGGTAGGGATTAGATTGAGATGTGATAATAGAGAGAAAGAAAGGTAAGACCGATATGGGAGAGATAGGAATGCAGAAATGGATGGAAGGTGTGGGCACGGAGTGGAATGAGAACAGAAACCAATTGGGAGAGAAGGCAGGGCAGAAACTCAGAGTACCTTTTGATTGCCTGGTCAAGTTCTTGGAGGGTGTTATCCGTATGGTACCACCTCCTGGAGGCCAGCATGTAGAGGTCGACAAATGCAGCTACAACATCCACAATTTTTTTATCTACACGCCCGGCAAGGACAATCGTGCACACTTGCATGATGGCACGGTGTTCAAACGCCTGAAACTTTGCAGCACCTGCAAAGTAACCACCCTTCTCTCCACCCGGTAGCCGGAAAACCACTGATTCGAGTATCACGTGCTATTGTTTGCAGGACCAAATCTAGCTCTCTCAGCACGTGTGTTTCCTTCCTCTTTTTTAGCATGGCTCTGATGCAGGAGATGATATGCATGAAGATGCCAAGATCAAGAGCATGCATGATCTCGATAAGAAGTGCCCTGTACGGGTTGCCGACATCCGTTCCGCCCAAGGCCAACCCCCATATTGCTGCCTGTTGAGGAACAAAGGGAGGGGAAAGTGATGGGTTGCGAAAGGTATATCAGAAGAGGGACCCTGGCCTGGAAACTGAAAGGGATAGGGGGTTGAGTAGGGCATGGGTGACAGTGAAGAGATGCTGTAAATCTCTGTCCTCCCATCTCCCTCCCTCTCATCCCTCCTCACTCCCATCTCTGTCCTCCCTTCTTCCTTCTTCTTTCCCTCCTCACTCCCATCTCTCTCCACCAATTTCCTCCCTCTCTTCCCTCCTCACTCCCATCTCTCTCCCCTCTTCTTCCTCCCTCGCTTCCCTCCTCACTCCCATCTCTGTCCTCCCTTCTTCCGTCTTCTCTTCCCCTCCTCACTGCCATCTCTCTCTCCTCCAATTCTTCCTCCCTCTCTTCCGCTCCTCACTCCATCTCTCTCCTTCCTTTCCCTCTGATCCATTCTCTCTCCATTCCCTCGTCCTACCTTCTTCCTCACTCTCATCCCTCCTCACTCCCATCTCTGTCCTCGCTTCTTCCTCCTCATCCCTCCTCACTCCCATCTCTGTCCTCACATCTTCCTCCCTGTAAATCCCTCCTCACTCCCATCTATATCCTCCCTTCTTCCTCCCTCTCATCCCTCCTCACTCTCAACTCTATCCTACCTTCTTCCTCTCTCTCATCCCTCCTCACTCTCATCTCTGTCATCTCGTCTCCCTCCCTCACCTTGACTGGGTGGATGCTCATGGCTTTTGCGGCATCATTCCGCGCAGTAAGTGTCGGTATTGCAAGTAACTCTTCGACCTTCTCCGCCTGATCCGCCTCCGTTCGGTACTCGGATGAAATCTCCATGTTGCTTATGTCCTCTCTTCGCACTAGACACCTGTGACACGGATATTGCGCTTGGTGGCTTGCAAAAGTGCCTGCCACCTTACATGCCTCCGGTTGGTCTGCAACGTAGGCATATAAGGCTAGGTAGACCTCATGACGTTCACCGAATGGGTCACGCATGATGATCCCACTGTTTGTGGAGTACCAAACAAAGCGAGGGGTGGGGCAGGGAAAAGGTGTACGGATTCAGCATGCGAGAGAAGGGGGAAGGCATGTGTCTGATGGACTAATGAGTTAAGAAGTGGTAGAAGAGAGAGAGAGAACGAGGGGTAGGAGGAAGAAGGGGGTTATCTGCATGATGTTCTTGTGTGGATGTAATGTGTGTGATAAGCAAGATAGAATGTGATGGAGAGGGGGTTGACTGAAAGGGGTGGGATGTGGGATGGGTAGGCTTGTCATGAATGTGTGTGTGATGGTAAAACGAAAGCATAGGTACAGTATAAGGGAGGTCATGAGACAGAGAGTGTTGTTGTTCGTTCTAAACACGTTCTTGGAGTGTGTAGGCAGGTGAGGGATTAAAAACAGAGGAACACGCATGACATTACATCTGATTTTGCCACGGGATGAAAATCTACTGCTTTGGAAAGAGTAGGTGGCAAATGGATCAAATGTACAAATTACCAACCTTTTAGAAGCCTCTCGGACGTCTTGCATGATGCGATCCATGGCTTTTTGAAACACCGCGCGGCGCGTCTCCTTCCCCGCTTCGGTTTTTGCATCCACGCCAGTCAGGGTGGCAGCATGGCAATCATGATATGGCCATGCGGCTGCCATCTGTTCTTGACTGTAATGTTACCCAGCGTCATGTACACCGGATGCCCAACTACTCGTCCGTCAGTACTGAGGTTAGTCGCATCGCTGTATAGTATCATGGGCACCAGTATAGCACCTCTAGGCAGTAACGCTTGTGTTTCAATCCACATGTTCCCGGTCTCTGGTCCCGCGTAAATACGCTGCTTTCCGTCCGCTGTGTAAATTGGTTTCGCCCACAGGACAAATCCCTCATGATTCTTACGCTCCAAAAATAGCGACTCTACTGCCTTGGAGAGTGATGTTAGATAGAGTATAGCGACGTGGTTACGGTTGTGACTAACATCTACCGACTCCCACTCCTCTATTCCTGTCATTTGCACAAGCAATGACTTGGCATACTTATCCATGCCTGCTCTATTTATTGCTGGGCCTCTCCGCTGTAGGCCTGCAAAACAGTGCTAAAATGTTGTTGGTGTCCGTAGCAGACAACCCATGCCACCATTGCAACTGTGGACGACCTTCAGAAACGCTTTGTCAATATCAAACGTCGGTACACCTGCTGGTAACTCAGATGGAAATTCATACCGTGGCAACTCTGGGATCTCATCTGCTTGCTCTCTGAGCGCTCCTGGGTGCTACATCTGTCCTCACCGTGTCTGCTGGCAGTGCTGTTGCTGAGCCTGAGTTCTGCTCACTCTGATCCGCCTGTCTACGTCTTATATGCGCGATCAAATCTTCCACCTCCTCCTGCTCACACGTGGTCGTTTTCTGCAAGCCTTTCTATGGTTCTCATATGCTCTCCCACTTGTGAACGACCTATTACAGCACACGAACAGCATGATGCCTTACAATATCTACGTCCGCCGCCATGGAAACCAACTATATAGTAGAGCTGAGAACCCTCAATGCAGGCCTTTCAGGCCTCCTATGAAATCTCCAGATTCGGATGCTTATGTCACCGCTAACGCCACCAGCTCTCTCGCCTCTCGTTGCAGGCAAAACTGCAGCTCAATGAAGCACAGGTTCAATCTGAGAATGATATAGACCTGGAAACTAACTAAGCAGCCAGAGATTAAGATATTATAAGTCCAACAAGCTCCACACAATCACTAAGCTGAGAATAGGCGCCCCACGAAAGGTCTGCACGTAGGCTTGAAGAGCGCTCTGGAATATGTGTAGTTGCATCTATAAATTTAAAAAGCATTCGGATACAAAACTGTTCTTTAGCTGGCCAAGCCATGGAAACACCGTCTCGTTGTATCTGATCGCTAGGCACCAGAGGCAGATCGGGTGATCTAACTGGCGCCATTACGCTGCCAATGACTCTGAAACGGGCGGTAATTATGGCTGTTGAAGGAAACTAAGTGCAGCGTAACGTTAACAATCACAACTTTTACTGCAGTCAGGGCCGTTGGAGGATGAGTCTTTGGAAGAAGGTGAGCAAGCATGTGGTGTTTGTCGCCACACACAGTGTTGTCCAGGTCGCAAGGGTTGGGAGTGCGACTGTGGACGAATCATCTTGGCGCTCTGCACCAACGACGGTGTCGCGCGAAATATCGTAATGTACAATGCGACCTGTTATGCGAAAATCGCATGATGCGACACCAGGAAAGGCAAAATTCGCAGGCAGGGAAAAACCGCAGGTCGCGATAGCTGGCAGGACGAAAATCCCGTACAGACCAATCGTAGCCCTTAGCGACCCCCAGGTTTGTCGCCAACGAATGATGACTGGCAAGGAACCCAGTTTTCGTCATAAGGTGTGCCAGGTTGGAATATTGCAACTGTAAATATTGTGGCAAGTTTCTCTCTAAACATGTTGTTTCTAAATAATAAATCACCGAGCACTGTGATAGCATAACCAGACGTAAAAATCCTATGAATTTTTTAAATTATTTTGTACTTGAAATCTGTAACAATAAAACATTTTTTTCATGCACAAATTCCGTAATGCAGGCACTGATGAATTTCCTCTGAACTTTGATACTATACTAAAATAATTACTTGCGTAGCTGTGCAATGACTTTTTGTACCATCTATCGAGACCTTAACTCTATACGCGGGATCTGTGAGTTCGCCAATGTGGCACCAGCTGCCCGCTTCTGAGATTGTTGTTGACCATAGGCAGGCAGATTTCGTGTGCTGCCTGCGCGCAATTTCGTAGCCAATGCAACTCGCCGGAAGCATGCGCGCCAATTCCCAGATCTGTGCTCGCGCAGCATTCCGGAAACCATCATCAGCGAAATCACTACTCGCAACCTGCGAGGCAACAAATGTAAATGTGCGATGAACGTGCTCTTCACAGAGGCAGTCAAAGCTGCTGGAGAGCAAGGCCAGGCGCCTTGCCACTGAGACCGACCGCCTCTGATCGCCACTGACAGTGAACGCGACTCATCTCATGCTCCTGGATTGTTTCTCCTGCTTCTGCTGCTGCTTCTGCTGTTTCACTACTGCTACATCCACTCCACTGATAGGGCTGGACCGCTGCTGCATCCGATATGTCTGGGTTGCTGCTACATCTGATTCAATGGAGCTGCTGCATCAGCCCAAAGAGTTGGACGGATACCGGACATTGATTGTGGTTGGGATGAGATGATGTACCAGTTGTATGAAGAGGTTCTGTCACATGTTATGAGACTTTTATATAGTTATCCTGCTGCTTTCGGACGAAGCTGTATCATTCTCAACTCTGAAACCTGTGGACCTTGGGGTTTTGAAGGAAATAAATGTTTTATTGACAATATGACATTGCAAGGAAACAGAGAGCACGCAGCTGCATCACTGACCACTGAAATGGTGAGGGATCATTGCCAGCATCTCATTGCATCGCATCGCATCGCATCGCATCGCATCTCATCTCATCTCATCGCATCTCATCTCATCTCATCTCATCTCATCTCATCTCATCTCATCTCATTGCATCTCATCTCATCTCATCGCATCTCATCTCATCGCATCTCATCTCATCTCATCGCATCGCATCAAGCATCTCATCACCGTGGATCCTATGATGACCATGGATCCGCCTGCATCAGGGCTGCCCAGGCTTTTATTCACTGCCTTGCACGCCAAGCCACTATGCCACAGTAGCTGCTTTATTCGCAAGCACTCTGCGTGCGCCACACCTCGTTACAGAGCATCCCGTTACTAGCAGCAGCCATCGCGCCTCGCCTGCAAACCCATCTCGCCACAACGTCTAGAAGTTTTTGCTGCTCTGGTAGATTTTTCCGCCGCTCCACTTGCTCGGAATCACGCCGTCCAGCACCACCTGCTTCCCGCTGCCGACACGCGCGACGCTCACCGCGCGCCCCGCATCCACGACGCCCGTGGCGGGATTCAGCACCCACGTCGCGCCCCATCCGTTGTTCGTCATGCTCTTCCACTCTTTCCCGTCCTTGGATATCTCCACCTTCTCCACTCGT